CTTTGCCTTTCAGCTTCAACGTTGCTCTGTGGCCCGTGTGGTCATTTTTCACTCCTCTGCTGCTCTTTACCCAGTTCATGGGCCTCGTGATGTTCGTCTCACTCCTGGGGTGACTCCCGCAGGTAAGCTGCCTGGGAAGGTCGTGCCGTGATTGACCTCATTTGAAAAACATCCTTCAGGACAGTTTTCAGGTGCTCCTGGTGCCGTGGTTCGTTTGTGTTCACACGGAGCTCAGCTAGAAGGGATGGAGCGCCTTCCCTTTGGTGTAACGTGGCTCTGACTCCGAGGGCAGCCTCGGCCCCACAGGGCTCACAGAGACAGCACTTGCTCCTCCCGGTATAAATACTCACACCTGGGACCAGTCTTTTTTGTTTTGTTTTTTTTAAATATATTTTATTGATTTTTTACAGAGAGGAGGAGAGAGGGATAGAGAGCTAGAAACGTCGATGAGAGAGAAACATCGACCAGCTGCCTCCTGCACACTCCCTACCAGGGATGTGCCCGCAACCAACGTACATGCCCCTGACCGGAATCGAACCTGGGACCTTCCAGTCCGCAGACTGACGCTCTACCACTGAGCCAAACCGGTTTTGGCTGGGACCAGTCTTTATTGAAGTCAACTCACATACACAGACTATGGGTTGGTTTGTGCTTAAAGAATAGGAATTTTGGGGAAGTGAACAGTTTTACCCAATTGGGGGAAAAAATTCTGCCATTTCCTGACTATTCTAGCTGCCTCATAAAAATCTGATGGATGGCACACCAACTTTTCCCTTCGTCTTATGTATGGGATTTCTGCCTCCCCACTAACCCCTGTCTCCTAATTGGGCCTGTGGCCCCACACGGTGGGGTCTGCTTGCTGAGTGTCAGATAGCACATTTATTAAGCACGTGTGTGTTCAAAGGACTCACTCGGGGCTTAGGGTCATGGTGAAAGAGACAGGTGGTCTCTCCCTCCCTGTCACTTGTATCAGAACTGGGAGGAAGTTGACTCCAAACATCAGTTTACAGGATGGAAATTAGCCCAGAGAGGTAAAAGTTATCGGGTGCTAATGAAAATGGTCATGTCCGCAACTGAGCATGTTCTCCCTCTGGAGTTTAGAGGGAAGTCAGTGTAACTGGGAAAGAAAGGTGCATAGCCTAACTTTGCCAGCACACCCATGACCACAGCCACGCTGATGTGTAGAGTCCCCCACACACTGCCAGCACATCCATGACCATGGCCACGCAGAGGTGCAGACTTTGACCACAGCACCCTGATGTGCAGAGTCCCTTCCACATTGCCGTGGGGGCCCCCAGGATTCTTAAGAGTGCGCCCTTTATCCTGTTGATATATGTCACCTTGTCTGACCATGCCCCCTGCTTCTCCCCTTGTGATGGTGTTAAGTCTTGGCCAGTTTTGAGTTTTTGCCCATGTCAGGGAGCTTTGACTGCCTGCTGACATGACTTATCAATGGTCACAAAGACCTGGCAGACTGAACTGCTTCCTCACCTACATCCACAGCGTAGCGCATTATCTCACTCCGGGCATAAATGCTGGCTTTCTTTCAGGTTCAAGGGCATGTAAACCGAACCATTAAACATCCAGTTGACCGGAAGCGTTCCAGATGTGGAAAAGCTACAATGTGTTTCTGCATCCTGAAGTGAGTGATGTTCTTAGGAAAAATTGTAACTTCATAGATCTGTGGTTGAAATCAGGATAAATTATATTTTATTTGCATATTCTTAAATTCAGATGATTTTTCAGATTCATAATAGGAATAATCTCTTCAAAATAGAAATAACTAAGTTGCAGTGTGAATCTGAATCCCTGGAGAAAGGATCGGTGGGGACGTCTAAATGAAGCTTCATTACAGATGCGCAGTACTCCGGTGTTGTCGGTGGCTGCTCATTCTTCATTTGAGGTGACGGTCGTGTCCCTGTGCCTTTAGCCCATGAGCAGTGACTGTGGGCCTCACTGTGTAATGCCTTCGTTAGTGAGGGACCAGCCGAATGTATTCTATGCATTCCTGTTTGGATTTTACCGTTCTGTGTAAATTTTCGGTTTTTCAGCATGTTTAACATATGAACTTTTAATGATTTTTAAGTATGTATAATTATTTTCCTTAACATTTAAATAAAATATTTTTATAACTTTCTTGTGATTTTGTTAATACAAACTTGGGAATAGTTTGTTTTCGCTATCAGTGCTGAAAAGTTACCTGTAGAAATGAGGTTTGTTTTTAGAGAAAGCGGCTGATGTTAGGACTCACCAGCCAAACCGCCACTCCATACTGCCTTTCCCTACAAATCCACATTGACTTGAGCTGAGGTGGTTTTTATGGCGATGGGCACTCCTGGAGCCCCTGCCATCTGCCAGGCCCTCAGCTCTCCTTCCCTCCCTCCAATCCTCCCTCCCTCCCATGTTCCCCAGGCATTTTGTCCCCGGGCTTCATCTTATCCCCGGGCCTCCGATACCTGGCACAGGGCAGTGCTCAGTGCACATTTCTCAGTGGGTTAAAAAAAAAAAAGTTAGATGCTAGAGAGCAGAGTGAATCAGACATAGTCCTTGCCATTAGGGAGCTCAGAATGTTGAAAAAACAGTTATGACTCGTGGGTATTAGAGGGATGGACAGTGGACAAATCCACCGGGGCCACAATGAATGAGTGTCTTGGTTTCCTGGGGCGGCCATGAGAAAGACCACAAACTAGATGGCTTGACCAACAGAAGTTTGTGGTCTCACAGTTCTCAAGACTAGAAGTCCAGAAGTTTGAGATGGAGCTGTCGGCAGGGGTGGCTCCTGAGGGCGTGAGGAGAAACGGTTGCAGGCCTGGCTCCCAGCGCTGGTGGGCTGGTGGTCGGGTCTCCCTTCGTCTCCAGATGGCATTCTCTCTGTCCTCACATCTTCCCTCTATGTGCATGCCGTCAAATGTTCCCCTTTTTGAAAGGACAATCATATTGGATTAGGGCCCACTCTAGTGACCTCAGCTTGTTCATTTATAGACCTTATTTCCAAATAAGGTCACACTCCCAGGTCCTGGGGTTAGGACTTCATCATCTTTTAGGGGGACACTTATTGAGACCTACTATGTGCTGAAAACCACCGATCTCCATCCTGCACAATACAGCAGTGGTCAGGACAGGCAGCAGTCTTTTCGGCAGGGCAGCCAGACCTCGGCCTGCACATTCCGGGGAAGGGTGTGTGCTAAGAGGAGAACAAGGCAGGGCCAGAGCACAGTGGGGAGGACGCACCACCCTGCCCCACGCCCACACTGACCATATGAGGAGCCAGGCCTGCTCACTCATGCGGACCCATCCGTCTATGCATTCAGTGCCGCCTCGTCTAGGTCACGTGTCAAACACAAGGCCCGCGGGCCAAATCCGTCCCGCCAGGCCTTGCAATGTGGCCCGAACCGTGCTGTCATCACTGCACTCCGCTGCGTTTCCATCACAATGACAGTTTATGACTGTTCAGTAAACCATCCGGCCCGTGATTTAGGCTGGATTTTAGATTTTGGCCCCTTCTCTGATTGAGTTCGACACCCCTAGTCTAGGTACTGAGCATCCCCCTGGCTTGGCTCGAGGGACATCAAGATGATGGACACGTTCCCTGGTCACCGCCTGCCTTTCCACCCTCGTTTCTGTGCATATGTGCCATCCTCTCTGGGGGACACCCTCGCCTCTCCTGCCCCATGTCGCCTGGCCAGCTCCTACTCCCCGTACAGAGGTGCTGCCTCCTCTGGGAACCCCTCACCCTGCCTGGCAGACTTGGGCTTCCCCAAGCATCTCCTCCAGGCAGCCCTGCCCACGGGCTGCTGGCTTGTCTCACCCAAAGCCATGAGCTCCTTAGGCAGGGGGGCCTGCACAGATACTTGCCCATTGAGTGTGTCTCTACCAGAATGTCAGCTCACAGCCCGTCCCCAGCCCGGAGCAGAGCCTGGCCAATGACGCGGAGCTGAAGAAGCGCTGACCACGTGGATGTATGAACCAACTGGAAAAAAAGGCAAGCAAGGCCAGGCCCCCAGGCTAGCTCCCTCCTGGCCCAGGGCTCCTGCAGCCAGGAGCCTCTGCCCGCTGGAACTGGCTGTGTACTTTGCTGGATCCACTGCAAAAGGAACGCAACAACAGAGCCTTCACCCAGGGGCGGGCCCTGCCTCACCGTGCAGGACCTCGTAGCGGCATCTTAGCGGGCCATTCAGGAGGACTGAGCGGGCTTGCAGCAGACTGAGGGTCTGAGGGAGGGGGTCTGGGCCTCTGTATCAAGGACCCCGGCCACCCCACCCCACTCCACCCTCAGCTCCAGAAGTAGCTCCCCATCTCTCGTGGGAGAGAGAGAGAGCACCTTTGCTTGGGAAGTGGCTCCTTGCAGACACGGGGACACCAGCTGGACAGAGACTCAGAAAGACACACCCTCTCCCTATTCATCGATGTAGGGACCAGCGACATAGATGTAGGGACCAGCAACAGCCTGGGAGCCGCCAGCCTGACGGAGAGGCCTGCACAGAGGGAACGTACGCAGAAACCAGCAGGGAAAGGACAGACGGATTGACACTTTGGAGCCTGGGACAGCGCCAGCACCGCGGATCCCAGAGCTCCGCTGGGCTGCAGCCACGCCCCCGCACCCCTCCCACCCCCGGGGCTGGCTCAGGGGACCCCTGGCCCCCACGCCCACCGCAGGAGCCGGGAAGCTCCTGTCGCTCGCCTGGGGGCCGGGCGCCTGGGAGCTGGAGGACGCGGGCGGGCAGGGGCAGGGCTGCCTGAGGTCCGGGGCATCAGGGGCGGGAGCGGCCGCGTGGGTCGCGGAGGGTGGGAGGGAGGGAGGGAAGGAGGGAGGGACGGGGGAGGGAGAGAGGAAGGGAGGGAGCCCCAGCATCGCGGGGCAAGGGGAAGTGGGCGGTGCGCGCCGGGAGCGGAGTGGCCTGGTCAGCCCGGTGCGCCCGGGGGCGGTGGTGCCTGGACTGGGGCGGGAGAGGGAAGCGGGCATAGGAGGGTGCCGGGAGGTGGGACTGGAACAGGGCGTCGTGGCGAGCTAAGTCAGGGGGGCAGGTGGAGCCCGGGGCAGCCTCTCTGGACTGGACTCTGCGGGCCGCTCCAGGATGCCCGAGGGTCCGGGGGCGCCGCCCTCTCCCCGGGCGGCCCGGAGCACCCCGGACAGAGGGCCGTCGGAGCCCGCGCTCTGCCCGCAGCCTCGGACCCTAGCCCCCGGCTCCCAGGGGCTCCCGGGGTCCTCGGGGTCCCCAGGCTCGCGGCGGGGCGCCCCCGGCGGTGTCCCGCAGAAGCTGGCCGAGGCGCGCAGCAGCCAGTACGGGCTGAACGTGTTCGTGGCGGGGCTGCTGCTGCTGCTGGCCTGGGCCGTGCACGCCGCGGGCGTGGGCAAGAGCCTCCTGCTGGGCGCGCTGACGGCGCTCATGCTGCTGCAGCTGCTGTGGATGCTGTGGTCCGTGGGCCGCGCCGCCCGCCGCCGCGCCCGCCCCAAGGACACGCACGCCGGCGCGCGCTGGCTCCGCGGTGAGTGCTGGAGGGGGGCTGCAGCCAGGCTACTCTGTTCTCTCCCCCTGCCTGCTTCTCTTCTCGGTCTCCGTCTTCTGTGCGTCTTTCCTGGCTCTCCCAGCTTGCCCTCCCTGCCCTCCGGCCCTCTCCTTTCTTGGCGAAGCCTGGATGGCTGCAGCCTTCTCCTCTACCCTCAGGCTCTGGTCTTGCATCCCATTGTCAGAGCTCCCGCTGACCCCAGGATGGACGCCACACTCCCCATCCTGGCATTCAATAATAATAATAATTAATAATAATAACAACAATTATTATTATTATTATTATGTTGGTTAATCCTCATCTGAGGACACTTTTCCATTGATCTTTTTAGAGAGAGTGGAAAGGAGAGGGAGAGACAGAGGGAAACATTGATGTGGGAGAGACACATCAATTGGTTGCCTCCTTCACGCACCTGGCCCGGGCCAGAGAACTGCAACTGAGGTACATGCCCTGCCCTTGACCGGGATCGAACCCAGGACCCTTCCTAGTCCGCAGACTAACGCTCTATCCACTGGGCCACACCCCAGAGGGCCCCAGATGGCCTCTTTAGTTTTAACGCGGTGCTCCCGTCTCAGAGGCTTTTAGGTCTGCTACATACTGTGTTTCTATGACTTCGTGTATTCTGTTCCCTCCTCCTGGAATGCCCTTTCCCCCACCCCTCTCCCTTCCTCCCCAGTGATGTGTTCCCAACCTCCCCACCCCCCTCCCGCCCCCTTTGGGATTCTGACAGCACACCCCTGCCCTGGCTGTGCCCTGGGTGGACACTGTTCTACCTGTTGACACTCTTATCCCCTCTATGGGGAGGTTGGGGGGGGGGTGTGGCTATGGTGTTGGTCTTAGTCCTGGGCCATTCAGGCCTGGCACAGAGCAGGTGCTGGGAAAACACAGCGGGCGGATGAAGGGCGGATGAGGAGCAGGTGAAGGCCGGGGCGGTGGGGGGTAGAAGCACCTGCTGGGTTCTCACAACATATCGATGGAAACTTCATCCAGACAGGAGCCCTCCCCATCCTCCAGGAGCTCCCGCCCCTGAAGGGAGGCAGACACCATGCGGTCACAGGGGAGGCTGTGGGCGTCTGTGGAGAAGGCCGGTGTCTGAGCAACCATCACGAGGGAGGCAGGTCCACACACTGCACACCCACCTGAACGCTCCTGATTCAGTCTCCCTGAGGGTGCGCCTTCACTGCCCTTGCTTCACCCCTTGATCTGCCCACCCCCCAGTTCCAGCCCCTGCAGCCCGGAAATCACACTTAGAACCAATGACTGCCGGTGACAGGTGGGGGCCCAGCACTCATTTGTCCTCCTTCCCACCCTCCTTCCCTTCCCCCTCCCCCCGCCCGCTCACGCCCACGGACAGCACAGCTCAAGCTCTCCGTGGGAGCCATTGGGTCCTGGCCGGGTTCTACCTCGTGCTATGACTCCTCGGATGTGTCTGTCATGCGGATGAGATTTTAGGTTCTCAGGCTCAGGGACTGTGCCTACTAGCAGTTCATCTGGCCTTTGGGAGAACTGGACCCAGCTCCAGGGTGGCCCAACCTCCTGATCTGAAAATGGCTGTTAGGGAGGTTCTGCAGTGATCTGGCTCTGTATCAAACAAACAAACAGAAGTGAAATGTTGTTTTGAGGATATGGACTTACACAGGCTAACAAATATTAGAAACACAGGCTTTTGACCTGTGCTTCCTGTAGCGGAAGGACCCTTTCTTTGTCCCTCCCTCACTTTCTCCTTCCTCCTTCCTCCCTCCTCCCTTCTTCGGTTCATCCCTTTCTCTTTCCCTCTCTCCTCCCACTACCTGCATTCCTTCCTTTCTTTGTCGCTCCTCCCCAACCCCAGCTCTCTCCTCCCTTCCTTCCTTTCTCCCTCCTTTTTCTCGCTTTCTCCCTCCTTCCGGAAGGCTCCAAGCTCCGGGGCCTGGGTGAGCGGGTAGATGGTGCTGCATTTCAGAAGAGTGGGAGGACGGGGAGGAGCAGAAGGGAGAATGTGGAGCCAGGGCTTCTCTGGTGGCCGTGTTGTCATGTGAAAAGCCTATTGGACACTGAGCAGAGATAGGAAAAATGAGGCCATAGAGAGAGAGCGCACAGTAGGTGGCTGTTAGACACTCAACATTAAATAACATAACCGTTCGGATGAGGCGTGTGGACCATGGAGATGGAACTGGCCATGGAAGGCGGGGCTCGCTGTCTGACTCTATCACCATCACCTTTCTTTTTTTCTTCTTCCTTTCTTTTTAATATATTGTATTGATTTTTCACATAGAGGAAGGGAGAGGGTTAGAGAGAAGCATTGATGAGAGAGAGACATCCACCAGCTGCCTCCTGCACACCCCCTACCGGAGATGTGCCCACACCCAAGGTACATGACCTTGATCGGAATCAAACCTGGGACTTTTCTGACGCACTATCCACTGAGCCAAACCGGTTTCGGCTCTTCTTATTTTTTTTTAGAAATATATTTGTAGTGATTTCAGAGAAAAAGGCAGAGGGAGAGAAAGATAGAAACATCAATGATGAGAGAGAATCATTGATTGATTGCCTCCTAGTACATGCCCTTGTCTGGAATTGAACCCAGGACCCTTCAGTTTGCAGGCCGATGCTCTATCCACTGGGCCAAGCCGGCTAGGGCGCCATCACCTTTCTGTGTCCGGTTTCTTCACCAGTAAAATAAGAATCCTGGCCGCCTCTCAGGGAGGGGCTGGGAGGTGTCCCATGAACGCAGTTTGCAAAGCACGTCCATCCCCCTCAGAGAGCTGAGGCTCATCAAAGAAGCGAGAGGCCAATTATCCCACAAGAATGGCGGAGGCCATGGTGCCAGGGGAAGTGCCCTCAGCCTGTGTCTGAGGTTTCCCTGGAGCCCGAGCTGGAAAGACAGGTCCGGCCTCGCTCTGCCCAGGCCGCTGTGGCCGCCTCAGCCGTCAGCCCGCCCGCCGGAGCTGCGGTTTTCCAGAGAAAGTGTTTGGGTCTCAGTTGTAAGGCTTTGCCTTGAGCAGGAAATATCCTGTTCCACCTGCTGGGTGGGAGGCCGTGAGAATGTCAGTCGGCTGAGCACAGAAGTTTTACTCAAGGGTCTGAGAGTTTGCGAACTTAGAACACAGGTAGGCAAAACCCCAGAGGTGTTCCATCTTAAAGTAAAAATTATATCCTTGAGGATAACCAGCCCTGCCACGTTCGCTCTTTTTTAAAAAAATGTATGTCACTGATTCTTTTTAGAAAATATATGCTTTTTTTCTTCTTCTTTTTTATTGATTTGAGAAAGAGAGGAAGAGAGAGGGAGGAGAGATATTGATAGAAACATCCCTGGGAGAGCGAATCATGGATCGACTGCCTCCTGCATGCCCCCTACTGGTGATCAAGCCTGTGACCCTGGCATGTACCCTGACTGGGAATCAAATCTTGACCTCCTGGTTCATGGGTTGATGCTCAACCACTGAGCCATGCTGACCGGGCTATTTTATTGTTGTTATTATTATTATTATTATTATTATTATTATTATTTTAACTGGTTTCTGTCCTGTCTGAAGCCCAGGGAAGTGTTACTAACAGAACAGTGGAACTGACAAGGAGAAGAACAGCCATGGGTATCGAGTGCATTTGGAATGCCGGGACATTGGGAGCATTGGCCCAGTTGTTAGACATAACAATTTTTTTTTTTAAATTTTTATTTCTATTGCATTGACTTTTTAAAATATATTTTACTGCTTAAGGGAGAGGGATAGAGAGTTAGGAACATTGATGAGAGAGAAACATCGATCAGCTGCCTCCTGCACTCCCCCCACTGGGGATGTGCCTGCAACCATGGTATATGTCCTTGACCGGAATCGAACTTGGGACCTTCTAGTTCATAGGCCGACACTCTATCGGTTGAGCCAAACCAGCCAGGGCACACAGCAATTCTTTCTTGTGTGAGATGGGCTTTACACAGAGTGCTTTTCTTCAAACGAGCCACACGCACGCACACCACACATTGCATCTCTGTACAGCGCCTTACCGGAAGTGGGCTGCTCGGAACTCTCTGCTCATTGCCCCTCGAGGGACTAGACGTGCAGGGCAGAGTGGCTGCTGACAGACAATCAGCTGGGGCTGGAGGCAGGGGTGTGGGGAGGTGGCTGTAGGGGCTGTGGAGACAGAGGTCCACAGCACAGTGGAGGGCTCAGGAAGCAGGCTGTGCTGTCACATGTGTGAGAAAGAACATGCATGAGGAGGGCGGGCGCTGTGGGCGTGGTGACAGAGACGGGGTGGAGGGGCAGGGACGAGGGCTACAGGACACAGATGCACGGGTCCCAGTGCTCAGGGAGCCTGCAGCCTGCAGTGCAGCCAGGATGGACGAGGCGCAGCAAGCTCATGACCAGAGCCTGGGTGCCCCTGTGCTTTCCCACCTCGAGGCGTATGTTCATTAAAAAAAAAATTTATTGCTTTTTTACAGAGAGGAAGAGAGAGAGAGTTAGAAACATCAATCAGCTGCCTTCTGCACACCCCCTACTGTGGATGTGCCCGCAACCAAGGTACATGCCCTTGACTGGAATTGAACCTGGGACTCTTCTATTCACTGAGCCAAACCAGTTAGGTCCGCATGCTCATCTGACTGTGAACGCCTCTTCTCTTGCATACGCAGCCCCTCCCAGACACGCCCGGCTTCTTTGTTCTGTCCGGGGTGTAGCATCCGTGAGTCGGGGCAGCCCTCCGTTCTCTGTATGCAGTAGCTTTACTGAGACACAGCCCCCCAGCTCCACAAGTCACCCATCTAGAGTGCACAGCCCCGTGGCTTTTAGCATAGTCACAGGAAGGGCCAGGGTAGAGGACCTTTCTGGCCTCTCAAAAAGGACCCCCCCTCCCCTCCAGTCACCACCCCCTCCACCCCTGTCCACCTTGTAATGTCCTCAGTGTCACAGCAGTTCTTGAGGTGGGCGCTTTCCCAGTGTGCACCAGGAAGCCGAAAGGACCGAGAAGGAGGGGTGAGCGCCCCTTGCTGGCAACATTGGGACAGA